TACGAAGAGAAGTCGATACGGATTGTCGATAGGCAGGTGAAACAATTGAGAAGTAAGTCGATACCAATGGTGAAGGTTGAATGGAAGGAGCATTACGGTGAGGATGCTACATGGGAAATGGAAGAGGAAATGAAAGTCCGACATCCAGAATTGTTTTTGGAACAAGGTAACTCAAGTTTGGGGACCAAACTTCTTTAAGAGGGGTAGGATGTAACAACCCTCACTTCAACTTAGTCATACTTGCACACATTTATGTATGGTCTTGTTTTGTTATGCGCATTTGAAAATCTTGTCTTGTTTTGATTGAGTGTTGCTTGCATGCTTGTTCTTGCCTGGTGTGTCGCCGAGGTCATCTTAAGCCTAGACACCTTGGAACCTTTCCACACTTAGAACTATCTTGGAATCACTTTGATTGACCTCCATCTTCGCCCTGGCATATTGGCCGAGATGTCACTATCTAGATCGAGGTGTACAACACCAAGGCCGAGATATGTATTATCTAGGCCGAGATGTTGTCCTTGCACCTAAGTGATTTTTGTTCCTGGATTGGCATAACCTAGACCGAGGTGTGGCACATCTAGGCCAAGGTGTGGCACAGCTTAGTCAAGTGTTGTCCTTCCAAGCCGATGTCATTGTTACCCTACTTGCCGAAGCTTTGCCCTTAGCCGAGATCATCACTTGCTGGAGTGCTCTTGCCATCTAGCTTGTTGAACACACTTTGTCATGGTGTTGTCTTGTCGAGTCAGTCACCTTTTTGATTAGAGCCAATCAACCGATGCCACGTGTCCCAGCAGAGGGTTAAGTCAGTGACTGTCGAGAAAACATATCATTTGGTATCAAATCTTGTCTTTTAGAGAGAGAGGCTCTAGGAAGGAGAAGGAGAAGTTTTGAGTGAAAGAGAGAACTTTCAAGCTTGATCGTTGGAGCATGAACCGTTAGATTCGTGTTTTGAGGTTAGAATCTTAACCTACTCTTGTTGTTCTTATTGATTATCTAGCTGCATTGCACGATCGAACTTGTTCTGCACGTCATGCATTGATTTAAAGTTGATTTTAGAAAGAGAAAATGGTTTTCATGTGTTCTTGAAGAAAAACCTCGTTTGATCCGAAAGTTTGCATCTAGAACCATGTTTTTGTGTTTGTTCTCTCAAGATCTTTGAATATGGGTACCCAGGTCCATGATTTTGGATTCTTAGCATGAAATCTCAGATTTTGTAATAGCAAGTTTTAATCTTTGCATTCATCTTCCTCATGTTCATGTTCTTCATGTTCGTCATGTTCTTCAAGAGAGGGAAACCCAGATTTTCCCGGCTTCATTTCCTTGACTGTGGCCATCGAGGCCACACCTCGGCAAGGGGGTGTGGGACCTCAGCCTAGACCTGGTAGTTGCCCATCATGTTTTCCAGAGATAGGAAACTGAGTTTTGATTTGATTTGACTTAGTTTTTGAAGAATGCCGAGGTCATTTGCATGCATGCAAGACTTGTTTTGAGAAGTGCATTCAATAGACTTTGCCATGTGTTTGTAGGACTGGGACTTGCCTTTACCTCGACGTTCGAAGAACTATGTGAGTGGTATTTTTAATAAAGCTATGTTATCAATGTTTTGATGAATTTTGCTTTGCTTTGTTTTGAAAGGTATTTGTTAAGCATGAATGATTGTCCCTACTTTGTATATCAAGCATTATCTTGTTTTGATGATCTCCTCGGAAAGCCCCTTGTGCTGGAGGACTCTAAACTTTCGCAGCACATCTTGTTTTGAAAGTCCCTTGTGCTGGAGGACTCTAAACTTTCGCAGCACATCTTGTTTTGGAAGTCCCTTGTGCTGGAGGACTCTAAACTTTCGCAGTGCTCTCGTGTTAGGAGGTTACGGGCCTTTGTAACATAGGTCCTTTGTGCTAGAGGATTCTAAACTTTTATAGCACCCTTGTTTGAGATATCTCCCTTGCTTTGTTTTGTTTTGCCACTGACGGTTTACCGCGTGGGTCTGTTTGTCCGGAATGTCATGATTTGTAATATGTTGATGCTAGTAAGCATCCCTTAGAGTTTTGAAGATTTGTTAGATGGACGAGGTCCATCCCTTGTTACATAAAGTTTTGACATGCATTGTTTTGAAAGGACTTTGGCTATTATTCATGCAAACCCTTTATTATTTATACCATTCACTGAGTATCCAAGCTCACCCTCTATATATATATATGTAGGTGATGAGCAAGAAGGCGGTGACGCCTAGATGTGATTCGCGAGCTTGTTTTGGATTTTTGTCATGCCGGTTTGACTTGTAATTATGTCGGCAGTCTTGAAAATCATACTTCTCGACTTGTAATATCTGTATTTCGTATACGTCGGCTTGAGAAGCCTTTTGATCAAGATGTGTGTTTTGTATGTATGTTACGTCGGCAACGAGGATGTCGGCAATCTGGCAGACTATGTTCCTTGACCTGTAGTTCGTGCATTTTGTTTATGTCGGTTTGTGAAGCCCTTTGGTTAAAATGTAATATGTATTTTGGACCTTACTTTAATTGTATTCGAGTTGTAAAGCCGTGTAAAGATGTATGCCATTCCATTTGACTTATGCACTGCTCTTATGGACCACTTGTATCTATAAATTATTGTTTCCGCACTGGTTAGCCCCATATGTAATACTCTGATTGTGTGTGAATTTTGAAAGTTGGCCTTCGGTAATCTCGGATTACTGGCCATCACGGCACCATCCTACTAGGGGCGGGTTGGGGTCGTGACAGTATACCTATTAAAAGCCTAGATAGGGTGCTTAGAGATTCAATATTATGGGTGTTTATAAATAAAAAAAAGGTGATAAAAAAGATATATTGATGTGATAAAAGACATGTATGATGGAAATATGGTTGCCAATAAATAAAAAAAGGATGGAAATATGATTATAATTAAGTCACTTGTACGAAAAATTAGTGAGTTTTCAATCACCATAAGATTGCACAAACAACAATTGAAAATTTATTTTTTTGGCATGGATTTGATTAGGGTAAAAAAGTTTGAAAAATATTCTGATTTTTTACTTAATTGCCCTTATCAATTTTAAACAAGTGAATGGAACTATGATCAAATATGAAAAGTGTGATATTGTTTCCTAATTTTAGGGAAAAGGAATTTTCTTTCAGTATTTTGAAAGAAATCAAAATCTAAGTTTAGAAGCCTAAGAAGATTGTTGGAGAAATTTCATTTTTAAATATTTCCAAGTAAGTGGAAGGAGGAGGAGAAGAGTCAATGTTAATGGACGGACTTGATCCAATGAATTCTCCCAATGTAAGCTAGGTTTGTTATGAATTTTGGATATATAACTTGAACCCTTCATTCATCTCCTTCACCATTCTTCTTCTAAAACACCAAATGGAACATAACACCATGCTTTTCAGGCCACTAAGTTGTTGTTGCTTCCTCATTTTTTCTTTCATTCTTCTCTTTTACATGAGTTTGTTCCCACTTTTGGTTTCACAAATGAGACAGACATGCAAGCTTTGCTAAAGATCCTTTTAGGGTCTTTAGCTCATGGAACAGTTCTCTCAATTTCTGCAAATGGCAAGGAGTTACTTGCAGTCATAGGCATCATCAGAGAGCAAGTGCACTAAACCTTTCATCACTAAAATTAGTAGGTTCCTTGTCTCCTCACATAGGAAACCTTACCTTCCTTCGGGTGATCAACCTCAAGAACAACAGCTTCCATGGGGTGATCCCCCAAGAGGTTGTTGGTCGCTTGTTTCGAATACGTTATCTTATTCTTGGAAACAACTCTTTCGAGGGAGAATTTCCTGTTAATGTCACACATTGTTCCGACCTTAGAGTCATCAATTTAGTTAATAACAATCTTGGAGGGAAGGTTCCAACTCAACTTGGCTCTTTGCCAAAACTTTATGAATTAGTCCTATCCCTGAATCACTTTTTTGGAACAATCCCACCTACACTTGGGAACATCTCTGCTCTGCATTTTTTTAATATGTCAAACAGCAATTTAGAAGGCCAAACTCCTGTTGAACTTGGAAAGCTCTCAAACTTGGAAGAGCTTCAGTTGTCTGAAAACAAGTTGACCAGTATGATCCCTTCTGCTATTCTCAACATTTCATCAATTAACATATTAGCTCTAGTCTCAAACCAATTGCATGGAAGCTTGTCCTCTAACCTAGGTCTCACTCTTCCAAAACTTGAAAGGATTTACATGGGAGAAAACCAATTCTCTGGGACCATACCTGCATCTCTGGTTAATGCTTCACGTCTTGGAGTGATTGATCTTGGCTCAAATGCTTTGACAGGGGGCATACCACAGAATTTGGGTGAACTTAAACAACTTGAGCTTTTAAATTTTGGGGCTAATACTCTTGGCACTGCAAAATCCAATGACTTGCAGTTCCTCACCTCCTTGACCAATTGCTCCAATCTAAGTGTGCGGCGTTTGCATGCTAATCAGCTTGGGGTTGTATTGCCCACTTTGATTGCAAATCTCCTCACCAAGCTCATAAGACTTAGGTTGGATTAGAAGTACATATCAGGAAGCATACCTCCCGCTATTGGGAACCTTGTCAACTTGGAGCTGCTTGCACTCTATGAAAACCAGCTCACTGGCAGCATTCCCAATTCCATGGGAAAACTTATCATGTTGCAAGGGCTCCATATGCATGTAAACAAAATCTCGGGGAAGATTTCAAACTTTTTCGGTAACATGTCAAAACTAATTCTTCTTTCCTCGCAAAAAAATATGCTAGAAGGAAGTATTCCAATTTCTCTGGTAATTGCATAAATATACAAGGACTGGATCTTTCACAGAATCACCTTAGCGGTATGATACCCAATCAAATAGTTGGACTGAGTTCATTCACTCTAGGTCTCCTCGTACCCAAAATTTCTTAACAGGACCACTGCCATCATAAGTGGGTAATAAGACATATCTTGGGCAATTCGATGTTTTAGAAAACCAACGAGGAAACATTCCAAGCACTCTTGGTGATTGTCTAGTTTTGGAATTTCTTTACATGGAGGGTAATCGTTTCGAAGGTACCATTCCACCATCTTTCAAACAATTAAGAGGCATTCAAGAACTAGATCTTTCAAATAGTAATTTGTCTGGCAAGATTCCAATTTTTCTAGGCGAGTTCTTTTGGCTTCAATATCTCAACCTTTCCTACAATAAGTTTGTGGGTGAAGTTCCAAGCAAAGGAGTGTTTAGCAATATTAGTGCATTCTCAATTGCGGGAAATAACAAGCTTTGTGGAGGAAATAAAGCATTGCAATTGCCTGCATGTCCCACAAAAATTTCAAAGAAACAAGGAAAGCATTTCCGTAATATTGTGCTAAGTATTGCAATTAGTGTTCTTGTCTGCATCATTTTGCGGCTAGCATGCATTTGTGCCAAAATGTATTGGAACAAAGGGTTTGTAAGAGGGGTTAACTTGAGCCCACTAATTAATTAGGCCCAATCGAAGCCCAATCAGAAAGTCCAAAAATTAGTGAGCTTGGAGAAATTGTTGCCAAAATAGGCCCAAGTGAATTCTATTAAGCGTGCCCATAAGAAAACCAACAAATTAGGCCGAGGAAGACCCATCAAGCATATATCTCTAAAGAGAGTCCAGCAAGACCATCCGAGGAGGCTCAGATCATACAGGCATTCGAGGAGGTTAACCGTTGTTTTCAAAAGAAATGAAACCCTCAGGAGGAGATCCATTCTCCGAGGTATTGGCTTAGTCTTGTAAGGGTTCGGAACCACAAACCTAGAGACCTATTTGAGCTTGGACTCGAAAGGATTTAGATCTACGAATCTAGAGATCCGAAGCACTTGGCTTCGAATGGATTCAAATGCAATCTAGAAGTCGCTCCGTTAATGAGTCCCAGAACACTTGCAGGCTCAGAGCTTTTCGGGATCTACGCACCAGAACCATGGGCGTGACGGATTCCGAACAAAGGGCCCAATCCCGAGGACGGTAAGTGGAGATAAATTCACCCTTCGATTAAACTAGCCTATACCTAGGTCGAGGTGGCACGATCTAGGGGGTCCCTAAGACTCGGCAATATTTGCGGCAAGGCGTTCTCTTGAACTACCCCTGACCCTTCTGCGGCAGGGCGTCCTTTGGGACTACCCTTTGGGATGATTGGGGATCATTGGTTAGGTGTGGCTAAGAAGAAGGGTTTGCTGAGAGGTTGATCTCCTCTTCGAGGGTTTTCCTCATCCTCGGAGAGGTCACCTCCTCGGACAAGGTGGTTAGAGAGAATATTTCCCATGTGCCTTGCGCATGGGCTCCATCCTACATCATGAGGTGCCTATAAATAGCACCCACCCATAGCTTTACAATGGATGGATTTTGGAGAGATAACTCTTGGGAAAAAACTAATTTTCCTTCTCCATTATCAACCTTGAGAGTGAACATGGGAGATCCATGGGAGAGCCTTGCCATTATTCTCTCTCTAACTACTTTGTCTTCTTCTTCACCTAATCTCTTATCTCCATCAACTCTTTACTATTGTGTTGTTAGTTGTGATTGTTGAAGAATCTAAGCCTCTCATCATTTCTAGAAAATTCAAGTTTTCGTCAAAGATCTTCGAATTTTCCAACAACATTCTTGAACCCTTTCATACAGGGTTGAAAGAGAAAATTGCTTCAACCTTGTCACTTGTAAACCAACATCCAAATATTTCTTATGCAGAACTTCTTCAGGCAACTGAAGGATTCTCCTCAAGAAATTTGATCGGCAAGGGAAGCTACGGTTCTGTGCACAAAGGGATTCTCAATTGTGAAACTATAAGAGCAATTGCTGTCAAGGTACTCAATCTTCAAGTAAGGGGAGCCAGCAAGAGTTTCTTGGCAGTATGTGAAGCATTGAGGAACATCCAACATCGAAATCTCGTTAAGATAATTACTGCTTGCTCAAGCATAGACTTCGAAGGCAATGAGTTCAAGGCTTTGGTCTTTGAATTCATATCCAATGGGAGTCTTGAGAGCTGGTTACATTCGAGTCCACTGAACCAGGAGGGCTCCAAGAACTTGAATCTTGTTCAAAGGCTCAATATTGCTATTGATGTAGCCTCTGCATTGGATTATCTTCACAACCATTGTGAAACACCTATCATTCATTGCAACTTGAAACCGAGCAATGTTCTTCTTGATGATGATCTCTCCACCCGAGTAAGTGATTTTGGTTGGCAAGAATTTGTCTAAACAAGACAGGTGCATCCACTCATAGACACAAAAGTACTTCAAGTAGAATTAGAGGAACAATTGAATATATTGCTCCAGGTAGTTTTATCTATTTTATTGTTCTTTTGTTAAAGTTCTCATTCTAATTATGCTTTACACTAGGGTGTGTTCCTTCCCCTTTTCCTTCTCTCAACAAAATCCTAATCAAATCCAAGATTCAAACAGTGCGTTGTCCTGTTAGGTATAGTTTGTAAATTGTTTCTTAAAATTATTTTTGGAAAAAATTTCTCAAAATAATAGACTTTTTGGGCAACTCTAAAAAGTTGTTTATGAACTTTACAAACCTATTTATTGACAAATATTTAAAAATAGAATGGATATGATATGAAAACAATTGGGGGTCCGAATCCCTATGAGTGAGCAGAGTATGTTGAATTTATTTCTTAAAGTATTGTTGAATTTTTCGTTGTTTTTGTTTTCAAAACCATGGAAAATGAAAACTATGAAAACAGAAATAATGTCAAACAAACTATGTTCGATTGTTTCTACTTGCAGAATATGCTATAGGTGGGGAAATGTCAATAAAAGGTGACATGTACAGTTATGGGATTGTTTTACTAGAGATATTTAAAGGGAAAAGACCAACAGACAACATATTTACAGACAATTTCAACCTCCATAACCATTGTTAAGATGGCTGCTGTTGACCAGGTCATGGACATTGTTGATCCTTCACTGATATCAGAATGGCCAAATGAATCAAATAAGACTAGTGGAAGCAGCAGAGGCAATGTTGTTAGGACAGTGAAGTGCTTGGAACGTATCCTTCAAATTGGAGTTATGTGTTCTGCAGATTTACAAAGTGAGAGTGTGAATAAATTAGTGATGCTCTCGTGGAACTGCAAGTGATTAGAGCTGTTTATCTCAGAAAAAGAGAGATGTAATAAACAAGATGATGAGATCATCGTTGTAGCTTTCTGCTTTGGTTTGTGTTATTCATCTCATTTGTGAGAAAATTCAGAGATACTTGTAGAACATAATTGTAAACTTTTATTACTTGTTTGATGCAGCTTTAATGGGACTTCTTCTAATCAATTTTATTTTGAGATTATGTGTTGATACGTTTGGTGCAACTTCTGTTTACACCGTATGATTCAACAACAGTTTAAATAAATTCAAAAACATTATTTATTGAAGAGTTGAGAAGACCACAACACCAAAGTATGCTCACTGGCTTTTGGATGTGAATTTTTATTCAAATATGCTTTCAAGAGGACTAACCTCTAACTTCTAATAATAGGGGATATGAAAAAACAAGAGACCCCATTTGGAATTTAAATATGAATATTTGAAGAGTTTAGTGGACAGTTACACCACATATTTTAGTCGGACCAGGTTTGTTGTTTTATCTCTAAAGCTCCCTTCTTTTATCAATTTTGGTGAATGAGAAGTTACAGAACTATCTAGTCATGGGTCTAGGGACCAAGTGAGTCAATATTTACCTCCAACCTTAGTTTACGAGTGTCTGCATAAAGCTTATTAGAGAGTAAAGATTCATATAACTGACCCCAAGTGATATAAATATTAAGATTTGTCTAGTTAAATTGAGGGGTGGGGTTGAAATGAGGGCTATATTTAAATTAAGATTTGACCCATTCTAAACCTGCATCCTTTTGGGAAAAGACCCATACCTTCAAGAGTTGATGATGATCAGATTTATATGATCCGGACTTGATCCGACAAACCTACAAAGAGAAGATATGAGTCTTGAGTAGGCACCAATGTGATGCTAGTCAAAAACTCTGCCTGAGTTAGTAACATGAATTGAGAGAGAGGGAATGAAAGGAGAGTTTTAGAGTTTTTGTATGTTGCTCATCTTATGCCTCTCATCTACCCTTTTGTAGAGGGTCTCTATTCTGGTCATTTAGTATTGATGGCCTTACGTTTATTGGGTCATAAGCCATTTGAATTAATTTTTAAAATTCAAGCTTACATTCATTATGTATACATCTGTAATCCTTCATTCTCAGGTGATGCTTTAACTGAGAGAAGGAAATCAAAGTCTAAACTGAGTATGAAATCTCACTTTCCACATTGGCTCATAGATCATGCCCATCTCACTTGTGTATCAAAATGTAAGAAAATTCATAATTTTTTTTAAAATATGAAAACTCAAAACCAATCTAAAAAAATTAAAAAAAAATAAAAATAAAATCCACAGGTCGTCGGTATTGCCAGGGGCGGAGGCACGTGAGGCCGGGGGTCACGTGGTCCCCCCTCAACTTTTCCAAAATTATACTTTTGCCTCTAACAAAAAAATATATTTCAATTCAATCCTTTCAAGTAATTTTTTGAAAATTATATATCACTATTTTCTCTACCTTTTTTTTTTTCAAAAAATTTGTTTAATTTGTCACTTTAAATGTTTAATTATACTAAAAAAATTCTTATAAATCTTATATTTAAGAAATGTTATATGTCACAATTTTTTTGTCATTGTTTTATACCACCTCTTATATGAACTCATAATTGATTCATTTGATTACAAATAATTATTACACAATTAATGACAACTAATAAAATATTGTCATGTAATTCAATTATTCATAACAGTGAAAAAAAAGGTGATATATAGAAACCACTGTATATTATTTATTCACCTTCCTTTTGTGTGTGCATCTTGATTAAAAATTTGTTCTCATATTTCATGAGGGCATGCGATTATTTTTTAAATCGTGATGATCATCATACATAAAATTAAATTATTAACAATAAAAGTAATTGCGTCACACTAATTGTATGAAAAATGCTTGGGAACTCTAATTGAGGAACTCTAATTGAGCACTTCTAATTCACCTTAATGACGTGGAATGGGTTCCACTCCTCACTCCTTATCCTCTCTCTCTCTCTCTAATTTTTAGTCTTACTATCAAATAATAATAAAAAAAGTAGATTAAGTTGGATTACGATTTTTGTTACGATTTCAACTCAATGGTGCCTCTTCTGAGCTCCGCTACTTGATATCGCCCATGTAAGACTCTATCCCTTTAAACAGAAAATAAAATAAAATAAAATAATGCACAATGTCTGTCTTTTTCTTCATCTTCTAGCTCGTGGAAAAAAACTCCAAGGTAGGAATAGTTAATCAGTCTTTTAAATAATGCGCCTCTAAAAGTGAAGTTTTTTTTAAATAATGTGTCTTTTGGGATGGGTCTTTTGTTACGATTTCAACTCAATGGTGCCTCTTCTGAGCTCCGCTACTTGATATCGCCCATGTAAGACTCTATCCCTTTAAACAGAAAATAAAATAAAATAAAATAATGCACAATGTCTGTCTTTTTCTTCATCTTCTAGCTCGTGGAAAAAAACTCCAAGGTAGGAATAGTTATTCAGTCTTTTAAATAATGCGCCTCTAAAAGTGAAGTTTTTTTTAAAGAATGTGTCTTTTGGGATGGGTCCAAAGAGGTGACGTGTTCCTTGCCGCATGGTAAGTTACACGGTGAAGACGGTTCGTCAAAACCATTTATGAGTGAATAGGAATTTGACGTCATTTTCATGTTCGTGAAATGGACAATTAAAGAATTTAATGTGGGTTTCCTTGTAAGGCTTGTCTCACATATTGGAAACTTAAGAGAACTTATGTATGTATGTAAGTTCTAAGTGGCAACAATTTGGCTCAAACCACTACACACGTACACGCCACCACTGCCGTCCGTCCGGCCGAGCCGTGTCGGGCACGGGTGTGGGTTGGGTCGGTTCTTATATTAATTTTTTGGACAAAATTTATTTGAATTTTTTCCAAAATTCTTGCGAGAAAAATTAATTTAAATTTTGCGTTCAATTTTTTCTATCCAAACAGTACCTGATTTCAGTCCATTTTCCAGCAGGTTCGAAATGTTCAAACAGATCGAAAAACTGCCCAGCAGTTTTGGACAGTTTTATAACTGCTACAGTTAACAGATCTGTTCAAAATTGTTTTGCACCTGTTCATTCAAAAATCAGACCTGTTCGGGTCTGTCAAATTGCCTATAAATAGAGACCCAATTCCAGTAGTTTTGTAGATCCGAAAACATCTTGAAAAACTCCAAAAAAAATCTGTTCCCTTCCAATTTTTGCTCTCTTTGCATTATTCTACATACTAGTTTTATAGGAATCATTTCAGAAAGTTTAGGACACAGGTTTGGTTCGCTGTACAAATTGTTTGGAGTGCTACTACAATTTGTGAAGATCATTGTATCCTGAGAGATAGATGCCATTAGTTTGTAAGCACCGTAGTGGGGCGAATTTGTCTTAAGGATAGAGTGTCACACACTCGACTTGATCTTTTAAATTTATTCGGTTCGGTAAATAAATTATGCAAGTAATTTATTTTATTTGTTTGATTTGGTTTCAACTTATTTATTATACACAGAAGATTGTTCCAACAATCTTAAGATAGATTCGAACTATTCTGTTTATACAGAAATTTTCATTTATTTCCTTTTCTCTTTCTTCTTCTTATAGAAATTATTTTCATTGATTTTACAAAATAATATTTTGGTTGGAAAAACAAATAGTAGTAATATATTGTTTGACAAATAGTAATTATATACTGTTTATTTTCTTCGACAACTACTAGTAATATACTGGTGTTATTAACAATTCATAATATTTATTTGTGAAATTTATCAGAAATTAATTTTGGTTTTCAGAAATAATTTCTGAGTGTTAATTAGTTAAAATTTTGTTTCAGTATTTTAATTATTGAAGTATTACAGAAATTTAATTTTCTGTATGGAATTAATTTGTTTAAATAAAAATTTTATTTTATTTTCAAATTAATTGAAAAATAAAAGTTACAATTCTTGTTTTTTTTTATTTTTACAAAATTTAATTCTATGCTTTTGGTTTAATTTTTTGTGTAGTATAAAATTCTAATTATAGTTTTGTTTTATAATTTAGAATTTATGGTTACTCAAACTGGTCAAACAAGTACTAGTGTGGTGGCTGCAATTGGTCCAACCCTTCCTGTTGTGACTGTG